CCAGCTCAAAAAGCAGTCGACTGGCAATGGTGAATCGTAGTAATCTTAGCGTAAATAATTGAAAGAGAAAGAATATCGGATGGACGAGGTCAAATTATCTTTGTAGGCCTTTTGTTTCATTTTTGCTGCCAATTAGATCTCAGTTAATTTTCAAGCTGGAGAGAATAGCGTATAGTTTTCTAATATTCTATACGTCATTTTAAAGGATATTTACATTTATGATGTTAAAAATGGTTAACGTTATGGCTGATACACGAAAACAGAAGTCGGTTAAAACATCTGGCAAATCGCATGTTTGTGAATTGTGTCTGAAAAGGTTTACTCGTAGGAGTAATCTTGCAGAACACTATTTAATACATAAAGATGAGAAACCAAATGTATGCGAACTTTGTAATAGAGCATTTCGCCACAGAAGTTCTCTAACGAGACATTATTTGTATCATACCGGTGAAAAACCCTTTGTATGCGAAAAATGTGGACGGAGATTTTCTGACCAGAGTAACCTGACTCGTCATTATGTAACACATAGTTCTGAAAAGCCGTTTGACTGTCACATGTGCCAAAAAACATTCCACTCAAAAAGAAATCTTACTAAGCACATACGGTGCCACACTGGTGAAAAACCTCATGCTTGTGCTGTGTGTAAAAAGAGATTTAGTCGCAGAAGCAACCTTTCACGACATTATGCCATCCATACTACTGAAAAATCATACGTATGTGATTGCAGTAAAGTATTTCGTGAAAAGAGTGATCTATTAAGGCATTCGTTGTTACACAAAGGTTTAAAGTCACACACCTGCCATGTATGTAAAAAGACCTTTAATCGTAAAAGTAATCTTTTTCAACATTATTTCACACATACTGATGAGGGAAAATCGCATTGTTAACTATAACAAAAATGTGAAACACTTGATCTTTGTATTAAATTTTCAAATGCATAATTACTGTAAAACAATAAATCCATAAAATGTTATTCTTTATTCTTGTGTACTATGACAGTTTCTGAAATATTAGCAAAAGTGAATAGTTGTGTATATGCAAAATTTGGCGATTTCATTGTTAGATAATGATTTTATTTTGGTAACCTTACTTTCATTGTTGGATAGTGCTATGATTCTATCCTTATTTTTTATATAACTCGAATCAGTAGGGAGTTAATCTTTGGATTATGGTAATTTGGCAATTTTTTGGCGACCAACCCTGCTACAGCAACCTGCTTGTTTTTTTTGTTTGGACGCCATTTTGTTTTCACTAAGTAAAGGCATGTTTTTTTTTTTTTTAACTGAGCATTTTTTCCAGAAAGCAAATCGCAAACTGCTTCCCGCTTTTTAAGATTGCACATACACGGTAATCCATGTACACGTCACCTATTTCACTTAAAAAACATCCCATATTGCCAAAAATGGCATTGCGCACACTCTTGCTTTATCCATGTCCTGCTAAAGCCTAGCTAGTAACCTTTATTGCCTTCCAAATGCGCCAAATACCTGTTACCATATTCCAAGATCGCCGACTAGGGTTCTGGATATTCTCCCTTATACATTTCTTTGGGAACAGCTTTTGTATTGGCCTTTTGGCATTTTTGATTTGGCGACAACGGGTCGCAGGTAACCCGGCTTGAGATCGGAAAAAATGGCGGTTGTCAACAAACCCGATCTAGACTAAATAACAATCCTAAAAAAAACTCTTATCAGAATAAACGTCTTCTCCAATTTCAACATTTCTAGAACTGCTATTTAATTCTTGACACTACGTAATGATTTATAGCAATTATATGTTATAGTAATGAAATTACAAAGGTTAAATTTAAATTACGAATAATATTAATGTATTAAACATTAATATTTTAATAGTTTTAATATTTTATATTATCTTAGTACTTATTTGAAATTTAAAAGGTTAATTTTGATGTTTTTGAATAATGAAATTACAAAGGTTAAAAATGCATTTCCAAACTAATGTTACTTTAGTTTCTTAGATTCTGTTATTAAAAGAAAATAAAAAATATTTCAAATGAAGGAAATCAAATTAAATTATAATGGCAAGTTTTGTACCAGTGTGAAATAGTTTTATGATTAATTTGTAAATGGTAAAATATTAAGAGTGTGCATTTTTTAATCCCTTAATTTATTAGAAGTAATTTTGATTTAGTTTAAATCTAAAATTAAAATTTTAAATGAGTAATTTTGACCAAGGTAATAATACAACACATCATAAATATGATGATTTCTGTGAATTCGAACAGTCATTGGAATCCACTAGTGGTGGAGTGATAGCCAACTAACAGTGGTTCAGGCTGGCTATGGGAGTTTTTGTAGTTTTCCGACATGTATGTGAATCTGAGCCAGTTTCTCTTAAAAGTACTTATGAGGTATCCTTCTTCTGTCCAGCACATGTATTATTTCTATTCATGATTCTCTTATTTTCTTATTCTTAATTCAAAATCTACTTCTGAAGTGAAGAAGTGTTACTCTATAGGTCGAAAATTGGTCAATATGTTTGAAAAACCTGTTCAGTTTTGGAAAGCATTTAAAAAAATAATTGTATATGATCAAAAAAAATGCATTACACTATTTCATGTAGTGAATAATTAATAGGGACAAGTATATTGTGCGTTCCTTATTTGTAACCAGAGTTACTTTATGCTTGGGATCTTTACTGTCAATTTCCTCCATCCGTTTTTCTCCCAGAATGAATAAGTTTTTAGTTTGTAAAACAAACCGGTTTGCCTTTCGAGGCCATATACTAGGTGCTAGATAAGATAAGATTTGTAGTCTTTAGTCTTGCATTATAATTGCTGAGTTGAATTCCATGCTGGTAAGTTTTTTAACCAACTTTGCATTAAATTGATTTGGTGCAGCGCTTTGGGCTACAAATTTATTTGAATTTAAATTTACATTTTTTATAGTCAGACAATATAAAATTTAAAAGCAATAATGAAACTTTTTGGTCCTGATTTGAACTATGAATTCATGGCAATTACACATCCCTATATTGTAATATGAGGCAATAAGTATTTTAGACCATGTAATTTGATCTTCTTAGCAAAGGAAACACCAAAGTTTACCTCATGCTACTGAAAATTGTTTTTTTTCCTGGGGGGGGGGTTTATAATAATATGCAGAGTTGACATATGAAAAAATGTCAAGACTCATGCGATGTATTATAAAGCACCAGTTTTAACTATTCATTTTTGGGCTTTTTAAAAAATATTTAAATACGTGCTTTCCTAATGAAAGTAACTTTAAAAAAAACATGCCTTTCCCTCCTGCCATCAGCTCCGATACCTACCAATTCATTAAATGGGTGGACAATGGCGGCATGTTTTAAGCTCAGTATTTAGGGTTACCAAGGTTATCATAATTTTTCATTTATCGCTCTAAAATGTCACCAAACAAATTTCTTGCCAAAAAGGACTAATACTAAAGCTGTGCCGTTCTTTGTTTTCGATTGCTGTTTGTTGTTTTTAAAACGGCCTATTTTGAAACAATGACATCAGAATTACTCTTTTATTTTCAATGTGTTAGATTATCAGCTGTTCTTGGTCTATTGTGATCATGGTGGTGCAATTCTCTGGTATTTTTCTTCAGAAATAAACCACTGTGTTCACAAGCGGAATTAAGAAGGATTTGTTGAAAAAGGGTAATTTTTATTTTTTAATGTATCATATAATCCTTGTGTAATAATTGAAATTTATATTTTACATTGCTAAAGCATGTTTTCTTTTAGTTGATAATGTTTGCAGACAAAAAATATTGATAGTTTTGCAGTCTTTAAAAAACGTTGCCCCAATTGCCAGCTTGCACATAATGTGCCAAAACTTGTTCTTTGAGATTTAGGCTCTTTTTTTAATGATATGTAACTTGACTTTTTGCAATCATTTTATCATACTTCTCGCTGATGGACCTGTGTATAATGTGGCTGGTGTCCAAAGTGTTGAATGTTTGGATTTTGTATATACAATTATGTTGCAAGACATGAGTGAAAAGTTTGTGACAAACTGATGCATAAAGAAAGGATTGATTTCAAATGTATATTAGTGCTCTAAATGCAAAAATAGTATGAAATAATTGAAAACAAATGTGACAGATTTGTTTAAGTGGTTGTGTTATGTGTTCGTTCCTTCCAAGCTTGAGGTCAAAAAGAGTGTAAGAAAGGGCTTTCGGTTTTCTGAGGCATGTATATGTGCCAGTGTAATCCTTCAACTAGCATATTTGTGGGGTCAGAAATGTAGGAAATCATAGATGAGTTGCATGTAAGTGATCTCACTGTGGTAGAGTGGGAGATATTTGTGAATGAGAATGATGGGTAAAAATATATTTATGGGTGTCTCCTGGCAGTACATGAACGTCGAGTTTGTGCAATTCTTTGACTTGTTATTTTGTCTTTGTGTAGTGGCGGCTTTGGGTCACCGCTAGACAAATCCAAAATAACAAGTGAAAGAATTGCACATGTTCGGTATCCATGTACACATCTACCTATTTTCACTTAAAAAAAAAAAAAAATCAGAGTATTGCACAAACTAGGCATTGTGCACTCTCTTGACTTTGTCCATGTATGTATCGATCTATATTCACTTATGAAGTCAAAGAAGCAGCCAACAAAAAATATATAATCTCAGTAAACTACGAGGGCTATCCAGAAAGTAGATTACGTTTTGGAATAAAAAAATAAACAAAGTATAGGAAACAAATTTTATTATATACAGATGAAAGCCACACTCAAATACTACTTTTCTACATAGTCACCATACAAATTAAGGCATTTATCGTAGCGATGTACGAGCTTGGAAATTCCTTCGTCGAAAAATTCGGCCGCCTGCGCCTTCAACCACTTCGTTACCTCTTCTTGCAGCTGTGCGTCGTCATCAAAACGCTGCATAGCCAGCCACTTCTTCATTGCTGGGAATAGGTGGAAGTCGCTCGGTGCCAGGTCGGGACTGTACGGTGGATGAGGAAACAACTCCCACTTAAAAGATTCAAGAACTTTACGAGTGACATTTGCCGTGTGGGGCCGGGCGTTGTCGTGAATCAACAAGATCTTAGAGCTCAACATTCCTCTGCGCTTGTTTTGAATTGCTCTTCTGAGTTTTTGGAGAGTTTGGCAATACCTTTGAGAGTTTATTGTAGTGCCTCTTTCCAGGAAGTCCACCAAAATTACACCTTTTCTGTCCCAAAAACAGTTGCCATCATCTTCCTTGCCGACATTGTTTGCATGCATTTCTTGGGTTTTTGGGGAGAACTTGTGTGCCCCCACTGCATTGATTGCAATTTCGTTTCACAGTTCACATGTTTCACCCATGTTTCGTCACCAGTAACGATGCGATCGAGTAAAGAGTCACCATCCTTATGGTAAAGCATCCAAAAAGTTCAACGCTGCAGCCATTCGCTGATTTTTGTGGTCCTCTGTCAAGATTTTTTGGAATCCATCTTGCACAAAACTTGTGGTAACCAAGCTTTTCGCTGATGATTTCGTGCAACAAACTTCGCGAAATTTGTGGAAAACTCAAAGAAAGTTCCGTTATTGTGAAATTTCGATTTTCACGGACTTTAGCATCGACTTTTTCGAGAAGTTCGGCGGTCACTATGCTGGGTCTCCCACTTCGATCTTCGTCGTGAACATTGGTTCGGCCATTTTGAAATCTTATGACCCACTGACGCACTCCACCTTCAGTGATAATGTCGTCCCCATACACTTCACGAAGCTGCCGATAGATTTCTATCGGTTTACAGTTTTTTGCAGTCAGAAACCTTATTACTGAGCACACCTCGCAGCTTGCGGGATTTTCAATTAACGCAGACATTTCAAACCGTCACAGTATCTGAACGGAGCACAGCACGAACCTCTCACTAGCACGGCTAGATGCAGACTGAGCTGCGCAACGCTCTGACCCCAAGATGGCCGCGCTAGCCCCGCCCCTAGCGGACACAGATGGAAACGTAATCTACTTCCTGGATGGCCCTCGTATATTTTAATTTAA